CGTCACAACAGGACCGTAGAATGAACTTAACATATAAATACTGGTTTAATTATATTGACAATTTGAAAATGTTACTGATTAAACACTATTGAAGATTTCTTCTTACCTATTATGTTTGGGACAAACAGGTATATGTTTCGACTAGGCCTACGATTCGGAACTTTACCATTGAGCTCAGGTGGTTTAGCCTCAAACATCTTTATTTCAGCCAGTACCGGTATGTTGACAAGTCCTATGCTACAGCGTAATAGTTTAGAAGACAGAAAAAGAATGATTGTATATAAGGTTCATACACATCCTTACGTGTTATCGCTCTGGAAGAAATACTCGAATTAATAAAATGTGTATGTCTATAGACCATTTTATCGGATTTATTTTGAAACAGCGCCACCAACGTCTCGCAATTATTTCAGCCAGTACCGGTATGTTGACAAGTCCTATGCTACAGCGTAATAGTTTAGAAGACAGAAAAAGAATGATTGTATATAAGGTTCATACACATCCTTACGTGTTATCGCTCTGGAAGAAATACTCGAATTAATGAAATGTGTATGTCTATAGACCATTTTATCGGATTTATTTTGAAACAGCGCCACCAACGTCTCGCAACTCACTAGGGGACTTAATTCCAGCGGATTCTCCAACGTCCCCACCTGACATTTTTGGGCGATCGCCGATGTTCCCAATTCTGTGGTAAACTGGCCAGTTTGGGGCCCAAGGTTCCGATTTATTCATTTACTTATTTGTACCGTTTTCTATAGGTCCTGCAATTTTGTTTCGATTTGCCGTGCCGTCGTCGGCGAGTGGCCTAGCACAAACGAAAATCTATCAGCGATTTTCTCGTGTATTTTTGTCTTGTTCTTTGATTTCTTGTCTTCCGCTAACATTCTTAAATCCTTAATCGAGAGCATTTCTTTAACTAAACAACCGAACTTTGTTTTGCATTTAGATAAGATTCTGAAGTGTTCAACAGCTTCAAGTGCATTCCTATGTTTCCCTTTTTGTGTTAATCAATGCGTTGATAAAGGTGTCGGCAAGCACAAGCCGCATTGAAATTTATATACACGCATTGTTCGGTGCAATCTTAGGTTTTCTCTCTTCTTTCTCTCTTCTTTAAGACCTCACCTACTTTCCTACTAGTGAACACTGGAATAATTTCTTTATCAATATCTTAGAGCTTAGTTGTTTATGTTGTCTATTTACAGAGTTAGCAGAAATTTGATCCTTAAAATGCAGTACAATTTTAACAGTTCGTTCATTTCTTGACTAGTAGGCCTATTTACATCTGTAGTGGCAGGTTCAATGCTAGATACGTCATCATATTTAGAATGCATAAAATCTCTAATAATGTTATTGAATAGGTTTTGTGGATATTTCAACCTTAGAAACATTGATTCAATTTTCCTCAACCTCTTTCTCAAAGATTTCATTAGTTGAAGAAAATTGATATGCTCCGTCTAACATTGTAAGTATAACAAGGTTTCTTTTATACTTGGTATCAACATGACTTTAATAATATAAGAGTGGTCCTTTATTTGTAGGTTTGTGTATAGTTTCCAAAGATGATGAAGTTTTTAGAAATAACCATTCCCAAAGAATTGATTGAGTTATGAGGCATTATTTTTAGATTGCATACAATCTCTGATAATGTTATTGAATAGATTTTGTGAATAATTCAACATAAGAAACATTGATTCAATTTTCCTCAACCCCTTTCTCTCAAAGATTTCATTAGTTGAAAAAAAGTTATAGGCTCTATCTAACATTGTAAGTTTAACAAGGTTTCTTTTATTTGTAGGTTTATTGTAGACTCTAGTTTCCAAAGATTATGAAGTTTTAGAAATAACCATTCCTAAAAAAATGATTGAGTCATGAGGCTATTTATATGGGTTGGCATGAACACAATGGTGTCGTCAACATAACGTCGGTAAAATGCTGGTATTTTGTTAGCAGATTGAATAAGGGTGTCCTCAATGTTACACATGAATACATTGGCCATTGGCCAAGCGGATAAACCATGGCTACCGTCAACATGTTCATACAAGTTACCATCATATTGAAAAAGTTGTTTTTTTGGTGGCAATTTTAAGGAGGTAAATAAGACCTTGTTTATCAATAGATAGACCATTGCTCATTAAACCAGTTATTTTCAAAAGCGTTGTCAGCAAGGATGTGAATAGTGTCTCAAGAGGACCACTCGTAAATAATGAGACGACATCGTAGGAAACAGCAAGTCATCAGTACCAATATCAGTACAGCATATTTCTTTTAAGCCCATGATGGGCTTAATCTCGAGATGAAACCCATATTGAATTGAAGCCCCCTCTTTAGTTTGCAAAATTAACCTCGAAAAGAAGCCCATGGACTTCTTCTCAAGATAGCATATGCTTCTTTTTCGAGTTAGTACAGTATACATAAATTTCAAGAAACAAAATTAATTGAAAACAAACTTGGTTTATACAGTAGTTTAGGTGATTTAATTCCAGTTAAATACACTCCATGATACACACTGATGTTTCATAGTTTTGTTTGTTTTTGTTTGTAACAAAAATAGTACAAATTCACACAATTTACAGCATTCATTTTGAAAAGAAGCCCCTCTCTTTACTTTGCAAAAGTAGCCTCGAAAAGAAGCCCATCCAAAGTTCGAAAAAAATAAAAAAATAAAAACAAAAACAAAGACAAAAACAAAGAAGCCTAGGGCTTCAATTCGAGGTTTTACGGTATGTTATGAGCTCTAAATTCATTACTCGCTAATGGTTTTAATTTTTCAGCTAGCCATTGCGGCAGTTTATAGTTAAGGTTATAGGTTCCTGTCTGATAGTATTGGCCTGACAGATCAATCAATCAATCAATCAATCATTTTACTTCCAATTCAAAGAATTTACAACAGATAAATAGTAAACATTGAAAATCAAAATCAAAGGAATTGGAAAAAGGCAAACATAACAAGAAGAACTTTAAGCATGTAGCCCAAATAATAATAAGAATAACAATAATAATAATAATAATAATAATAATAACCTGTAATAATAATAATAATAATAATGATAATAACAACAATAACAATACATCAATAACAATAATAACAAAAATAATAAAGTAATAATAATAATATACACGAATGTTATAGAAATATTTCAATTAAGTGAATCAATAAATCGATAAAGTTAATTAAGTAGCGGATTGGTGATTATAATATATATACATATACACATACATACACAAATGATGACAATCAGTACTTATTCAATAATTGTTTCTTAAAAAGTTTTTTAAAATTGCTTACTGAGTTCAGAGACCTTAGTGCTTGTGGAATGTTATTCCATATCTTTGACCCTTGGTATGATATACTTTTCTGACCAAACTGAGATTTTTTTATTGCTATATACATATCATTTTTATTTCTTGTATTATATTCATGAATATTTTCAAAATGGTTAAAAAGTGTATCAAAGGTAGCTGGTAAGTAATTAAAAAAAAAATTTAAACATAAAAATTGCTACATTTTGTTCATACAGGTCATAAATGTTCAGAAGTTTAGCTTGTTTGAAGAGAGGTAAGGATGGGTGTTGATAATGTACATTAAATATAGCCCGTAATGCCTTTTTTTGAAGAATATGAAGTCGGCTTAATTTGGTAGAACTCGCAGAACCCCATGATGAAATTGAATATGTCAAATGTGGAAGGATTAGAGCATTATAAATTTTAAGTAAAATATCATAGGGCAATGTGTGCTTTAATTTGTTGAGGGCACCAACTACCTTTGATATCTTAGTTGCAATCGCATTTATATGGCAATCATAGGACAATACATCATCAAGATAGACTCCAAGAAATTTTGTTTGATTTGTACGTACAATTTCGACACAGTTAATAGTAAGTTTTAAATTTGCATTGTCAATACTCTTATATATTTACTCTTAAATATAACATAGCTTGTTTTACTTTCATTTATCTTAAGCTGATTTGCATTGAACCATTTAGAAAGTAATACAAGCTCATTGTTTAATATTTGAAAAGCCTCTTGCAAATCATTATGCTTAAAGAAAACATTTGTGTCGTCTGCAAACATGATCATCTCTATTTTTTTACATGAATACATAAGATCGTTTACATACAGCAAAAATAGCAGGGGGCCCAATATCGAGCCTTGTGGAACGCCACATCTTAGTTCCTTTCTTGCTGATGAACATCCATTTACTACGGTGTACTGTTGTCTATTACTTAGATAGTCTGTAAACCATTTCAATGCTATGCCTCTAAAACCATAATATTTAAGTTTTTCCAATAGGATAGAGTGATTTACCGAGTCAAATTGGTTAGGAAAACAACCAGTCATCAAAGATACGTTAATAATATGAGTAAGTGGTTTTATAATAGTATGAGATACAGGCTTAATGTAATTAGAATTTATTCCATCATGACCCGGTGATACGTTAGTTTTCATATTATTAACATAAACGTGAATATCATTTTCAGTTACTGGTCTAAAAAACATTGAGTTTACATAGTTAACGGTTAGAAAGGACTTTGGATTTTCACTTGGCGTATTGTCATTATTGAATGTATTAGCTAAATTTTGTCCGATGTTGATAAAATAAGAATTAAATGTTTCAGCCTGTAGCTTTGGTTCTTTTAATTCATTTTGTCCAAATTTAAATTCTTTTGGTAGAGTATTTTTACGTTTACTCCCAAGAATCTCATTTATAATGTTCCAAGTTTCTTTTATAGGCCTATTGTGTTTATGTTTTTCAAATATTGTGTCCTTATGAGTTTTCGGTAGACCATAAAGATGGGCAAGTCTAGAAATTTGTTGAGTAAGTGTTGTAGCTATTTCTTTAGAAAGTATGTTACGGACAATGCTAGATAGTGGTTTTTCTTTCTGTAGAAGTGGATGGAAGTGTTTTATGGGCAGTGGCATAACTAGGTTGTGAGGGGCCCGGGTTCAAAAGTACAGCCGGGGCCCTTAACGCATACAAAGTGACTTGCCATGTCAGCTAAGATGTGTACCACCGACAGGTTAGTTTAAAACAGGGGTCCCGATTTTTTAAATACTATTTTGACAATAATTCTATCGATTTTTAAAATTTTTAATTTTTAGATGTTCTCAGAGGGCTGGACTGAACATAATAATAATAATAATATAATAATAGAATTTCTCTTCTTATGACCAAAAGAAAAAACACATTCGATATTTATTAAATTGGTGTTTTTTATTTATCGGATTGACCACTGTACAATGTCAACAATTATCTTGTATATTAGTTTTATATACTTAAACTAAATAAAATAAAATAGATCACACCTGACATCATTAGACTAAGTATGACCTTGATCATGCAAAACACATATCCGATAAATATGGCGGCCTTTTAAAATGGTCCATTAAAAAAAATGCTAATACTAAATAAAATAATACATTATTATTATTTTTCTTCATCCCAGACTTCACACAGGAAGATTTAAAAAAAAGAGTTACTTTCAGGGCATCCTATTCTTCCGGTATAAATCAAAAAGGCCTATACTCACAAAAATCCCTGTACATAATGCTAAAGAGTGGGCCCAGAAAAGCACCCAGCCTAAAAATGTTTATCTGGACAGAAGAAGGTAGTAGTATGGCTCAAAATAATGACCAATACACAATTCGTAGGCCTATTTTAAAAATAATGTAGGTCTATTGCAAAATGATAACTTGTTCAAAATGTAATCTTCTTTCACTGCCATAACTAGATGAATTGTGAAGGGTATCGTGAAATATAAACAATATGCAAAATAAAAGATAGGTTATGAATACACATGATGCAATATGTTGTCATTATATTTAAAAATATACCTACAAATTAATGTATACCATAAAGTATTTGCCCAACCACCAAATTGTTATAAATATTTAATTGTTAATTTATATTTATACCTCTAAATATTTTTAAAATCATCTAAATTAGGAATATTAAATATTGTCAAAAAATGAAATGTACATAGGCAATACAAAAACAAGCGCATGGTGGATTTTTTGTTTAAATATATAACATAAAAATACAATGTGATGCGAACATTAATAATAAATTCATATAATTATTTTATAGGTATCCGTATATATTTATTCAAAAATATTATACTATAATTAAGACGTGGTCCAGCCAACCGGTGCGGTTCCGACGGCCCTCAATATCTATCGCAATAACGGCGGACGTGATTTTAGTTAGATCCAAAAATGGCCTCATGGTCTGTGAAAGCCACAGGGCCCCCAGCGTTACTCCACTCGTTGGAAGGTAGCAAATACAATTATAGTTCAATTCAATGTCACAATAAAACATTGCTTTATTATATTTTTGTTTATAGATCGGGGCCCCTGGAGCTCGGGCCCAGGTTCAAAGAACCTGTTAAACCTGCGGTATAGTTACACCACTGTTAATGGGTCTTCCTCTGGATTTAGGCTGTTGTGCTCATGGGTGTAAACTTGGATGTATTTTCAAATCTTTATAAAAGCTATATAAAATTCAAATTACAAAAAAGAACATTAATACAAATGAATAAAACCCCCAAAAAACAGAATAGAGCATCATAAAAATAAAAAGATACTGTATACACTAAACCCTGAGAATTGTCATCCAGTTTGAGTGAAGCACTGATTCTCTAAGGCAGTACTGATAATAACGCATTGATGAACACAATTATCAACGGCTTTAAGATCACTTATACCATGCTTTCTATCATATGTTTCTTTTTTGTTTACTTGATCTTAAAAATGCGTCCATCTTCACTCACTCGCCACTGAGAAAGTGTTGTTCGAAAGCTCTGGTTCTATTTATGGCAGTGTTTACTTACGTTGACTTTTTAGCTGCTGGCTATCCGCAAATTTGTATCTCTACCGAAATCCAGCCATTGTTTCCCACATCATTGTCTTTTTGCCTTTTAATATATCTATACTTTACTACTATTTGTATAATTTTGATTCAATTCTGCTGTAATTCTGGAGGGTACTTTGGAGAATTTCAAATTTCTACGACCTTGTCGGAAATGGGAAACAAAAGAACCTAACTAGTTGCTTATCGCCACAACAATTCCCACCGAACCGTAACAAAAACAATAGTCACCGAACCGCTCCATGAACAATATAAATAGGATAACAACACCTAATCACATTTGTCTGATGATATCCATTAAGCGTGAAACTGGGAGCAAAAACACCCATTATTTATATACCAACGTAATTACAACTGGCCAGACCCCCTCTCATTAGTAGCTAATAATTGTGTATTGTTCTGCTGTTTATCTTTCAATCAGATCATTGGGCTTTGATGGTGTGCTACATTGATTTTTAATTAAGCCTATCTGTTACTTTCCCATGTACAATATTACATCTTTATTACCGCTGTTCAAATGAATAGGTATAGTTTTCACTCGAGTTGACATATGTTCATATTATCATACGTTAACAAAAACTGCGCGAGCTTAGATTAAGTTGAAATATTATTTAGTTTTATGTTATCTGATTATTATGTTGTTTAAACACTTACAGGCCTAATTGGTTAGACCACACATTTTTTCATATTTCTTTTTGCTCATCTTCACTACATATATTCAGACTTGATAAAGGGTTATATCGGAAAGATCTCGTCGTTTGTTTTATAACAAAAAAAAAAAAAAATCTGAGGCAGGAGGAAACTTCTCTGATATCCGTAAAACTTTGCAAACTAGCCGCCAATAAACATGCATTGAAATGACACCTAATTAGGAACCTAAAATTTTTTCATCAAACTTAGTTTCAGAAAATATAATATCTGTCTCTTATACACATCTCTTGTAGTATGCCCACTCATTATTAGGTAATTGTGTATTGTCTCGCTGTTTATCTTTCAATCAGATCATCGAGTTTTGATGGTGTGCTTACATTGATTTTTAATTAAGCCTAACTGTTACTTTCCCCATTGCGTATTATTACCGCTTTATTACCTCTGTTTAAATGAACATAGGTATAGTTATTACTCGAGTTCATATTGCCATACGTTAACAAATGCAAAAACTGCGGGGGTTTAGTAGTAGAGGTGGTACAAAATTTGTTGGAAATTATTAGCTCCAGTGATCGGAGATCCATTATGAACAATTAAATGTTATCTGTAGGCCTACTGATGTAAAGGACATAAAAAGTTACAACTTTAGGTCCTAACAACACCCACACGAATAAAAATGTACATAGAATACTGTAGAAATCCATTTATAAGGCTCTCAAAATGCTAATTTGTCCGGGGGCTTTGCCCACCCCCGCGGGGTCCTAGCCCCCAGCATCGAATAATGCAACTCCCTATCGAAAATCCTGCCAACGATACTGGCTTATTACTCCGTGACGCCACTGATTCTGCTTTGACAAATTCATCTTTGACTTGTATTGGGTGCCATACGCAGCAAAAGGTCGGGCGCTGACGGGGTGGGGGGAGTGCCAGGACCCCCAGGTACGAGGGGCTCCGACGTTGTAGTTTCAGAAAATATAATATAAACTATAAAAATGTTAAAGCAGAGTCTATCCAATATTAAGCAATAGTTTGTTATTACTAATTGCACATCGTTTTCAGGTGACAATAGACTCTCGCATGGACGCACGGCAACTAACCGTTAGCTGCGGTGTGAGAACATAGCCATATTTAATACTTGCAAACTGTTCATCTGAGAATTAACTTCAAGATCTTGTTAGTTGTATACTAGTCACTCCATAAATATTCCCCCACTATATCTTCAATCTTATTTCGCTGCGTTCTGCCGTTTGCACCCACAGACAGGCCAACTCAGACAGCGTCGGCCGACGCAGCCCGACCCGATTTATCGTCGGGGACAGTCTTTAGCCGTCGTGAGAAACATTATACATGTTTAATATTCTACGACGCGACTGCCCCCGACGCACACCATCGCGTCTGCGTTTAACTCACACTGACCCGACGCGACAACAAATCGCGTCGGGCTGCGTCGTAGGACGCTGTCTGAGTTGGCCTTTAGGTGTACCTCATATTCATCTACTTTTCTCAGCTGCCCCATTTGATCACCTTAAAACTTGTTTTCATCGTTCTTTTATTGTTGCTGTTCCAAAGTTTTGGAACCAACTACCTGAGACTGTCAGGGTTTTATAAAGAGACTATTACCGCCTAGTAAGATGCCGGGGTGCGGTAAACTAAATACCAAATTTCTCCTACTGATATTTTAAGACAAATAAATTTGGTAATAAAGAAATTTATATTGATGGTAAAACACTGTGTTTTATGTGATGTACCCATTCTCGCATTGTCAAAATTAAAAATGTTATAGATAAGAACAAGTTTGTAAGTACGGAGGTGTTCCGACAAAAGTTAATTGATAGTAATTGGATTTTAGAGCTGGAACATAAAAAATGCACTTCCACAAAGACGGTTAGACACACTTAAGGAAGATAGTGAAACTCAAGAAACAATATAAACGACATTGACGACCTACATTTGTTTGAGTATGGTAGTTTTAATATGTTACTATTAACAATAGCATATATTGGAACATTATATCTAAGGAAATAATTGAGCCGAAAGTTATAAGTTGCTGTCAAAAGGAACTTGAATAGATCCAACTGATTGGCCATGTGTCTGGAAAAGGAAAATAGATCAAATTTATGAAATAAAATGAAGACAGTTAAATTTCAAGTTCCATGCCATTTTAACAAAAATAATTAGTTGTTTAAATTCAGAATAACTACGAAACCTCTTTGTTCTCTATGTGTTAATGGTATTATTATGTATATTATGTTGTATTATTGTAAACCTTAATGGATATAGGCATGCTATCGAAAATGTGTTACCATAGAGAAAATAGTTCTATTTTCTCTATGGTGAAGAATGGAATTTTAGATGATATTAATATAAAATCGATTGTAGTTAGTTAGAGTTTTTAAGAAAGGTATAAACATAATTTAATCAATAAACTGATCAGTTTAGCTAATTTTGTAAGTTATAAAACATAGCTAAAGACACATGAATGTAAACAAAGACATAGTTAAACCTATTATAGCAGTTTTTTCCCGCAAAACTTAAGTTTAGAATAAGTTTACAACAAAACATCCATTCAAAGCAAGCAAGTTTAAATCTATTGTTATCTAACCTGGTAAAGGGATACTATTTAAATTTAGGCTAACCCGTCACACCTTTATGGCATTATTGAAGATTATAGGTGTTTTATTACTGTAAATGTATTAACAATTGGGTTGTATTACGATCTTATTAGAAAGAAGGCAGAAATAACATAACATGAATTGATTAGTTTAGCTAACATTGTAAAATCAAGGTTTAATATCCATAAGTGTGAACAATACATTGTTTAATCAACCCATTTTCCCCCTTGCTTAAATAAATTTAAATTTATCACAAGGTGAGGTTCTTTGAGCAAAAAATATCAAAAACAAAAGTGTGCGTGAATGAACCTTTTGTGTAATTTTGTATGTTTAAAAAAGAAGCAAATATATATTTATGAATTTATGTTACCTAAAAAGTAAATATAAATGAATTTTCTGAACACGTGAATTAGTATACCTAATTAATTAGATTTTCATTCTTTAAAATTCGTGAAACATGGCTACTAGAAGGCTCGGGAGCTTCTGCTTTTCTCCTGGACCATACTGTGCCCTGGACGGCTCCCGCCTCCAGTCTTAACTCGTCGGATCTAGGGGTCTCGGTTGCGCTACATCAAAGGATCCGTCCACGAGTCTTCCACTACTGGAGCCCGTCAAACCTAGCTACGCCAATAATCGCTTGTATGCTTTTACCTAAAGAAAAGTTAGATGAATTTTTCATGCTGCTTCTTAGTTTCAATATCTTGATACAACATCAATGCTTCGCATATCCTGACGAATTTGGAGAGAAGCCACACGAAGGAAAAAGGACACAAGATGAGCAACATCAGAGGGACCAGTTGCACCGGTAACAGTGGCACTGAGGACGAAAATTAACGATAGAGTAACAAAACGAATTGATAATATATAGGCCTATATATATA